TCCCCCAGTGCCCCCTCTATCCCAGTGTCCCCCTGTCCCCAGTGTCCCCCTGTCCCCTGGTGTCCCTTTGTCCCCCAGTGCCCCTGTCCCCCGGTGTCCCAGTGTCCCCTCTATCCCAGTGTCCCCCTGTCCCCCAGTGTCCCCAGTGTCCCAGTGTCCCCTCTATCCCAGCGTCCCCAGTGTCCCCCTGTCCCCACAGTGTCCCCAGTGTCCCCTCAGTGTCCCCGCTGTCCCAGTGTCCCTCAGTGTCCCGCTGTTCCCCCAGTGTCCCCAGTGTCCCCTCTATCCCAGCTGTCCCTCAGTGTCCCGCTGTCCCCGCAGTGTCCCCCCCGGTGTCCCCTGTCCCCGCGGCCATGCCGGAGCCGGTGCACCACATCCAGCTGCGCTCCTTCAGCCGCTCCCTGCTGGCCACGCTCAACGGGCAGCGCGCGGCCGGCCGCTTCTGCGACGTCACCGTGCGCATCCGCGAGGCCTCGCTGCGCGCGCACCGCTGCGTGCTGGCCGCGGGCAGCCCCTTCTTCCACGACAAGCTGCTGCTGGGCCACGCGGCCGTCGAGGTGCCGCCCGTGGTGCCGCCGGCCGCCGTGCGCCAGCTGGTCGAGTTCCTCTACAGCGGCAGCCTGGTGGTGGCGCGCTCCGAGGCGCTGCAGCTGCTGACGGCCGCCTGCGTGCTGCAGATCGAGGCCGTCATCGGCGAGTGCGCGCAGATCGTGTCGCAGGCCCGCGGCCCCGCGCTGCACATCGAGGGAACCATCGGTGAGGGCACTCAGATCGTGTCGCAGGCCCGCGGCCCCGCGCTGCACATCGAGGGAACCATCGGTGAGGGCACTCAGATCGTCTCGCAGGCCCGCGGCCCTGCCATGCTGCCCGCCGAGGGGGCCATCAATGAGGGCACCCAGATCATGTCACAGGCCCACGGCCCCACGCTGCCCGCCGAGGGAGCCATGGGTGACGGCACTCAGATCGTGTCGCAGGCCCACGGCTCTGTGCTGCACATCGAGGGAACCATCAATGAGGGCGCGCAGATCGTGTCACAGGCCCACGGCTCTGTGCTGCACATCGAGGGAACCATCAATGAGGGCGCGCAGATCGTGTCGCAGGCCCATGGCCCTGCACTGCAGATCAAGGGAACCATCAATGAGTGCACCCAGATCACCTCGCAGGCCCACGGCCCCGCACTGCACATCGAGGGAACCATCAATGAGTGCACCCAGATCGTGTCACAGGCCCACGGCCCTGCACTGCACATCGAGGGAACCATGGGTGACGGCACTCAGATCGTCTCACAGGCCCACGGCTCTGTGCTGCACATCGAGGGAACCATCAACGAGTGCGCACAGATTGTCTCACAGCCCCATGGCCCCGCGCTGCAGATCAAGGGGATTGTTGATGAGTGCACCCAGATCGTCTCGCAGGCCCGCGGCCCCGCGCTGCAGATCGAGGGAGCCATTGATGAGTGCGCCCAGATCCCCTCGCAGCCCCGCGGCCCCGCCGCGCTGCCCGCCGAGGGAACCGCCGGCCACAGCCGCAAGCAGCGGCAGCCGCTGCGCCTGGCGCCCGCGCCGCTCAAGGAGGAACGCCCAGACCCACAGGATGAGGAGGATGATGAGGATGACGAAGGAGAGGATGAAGGAGGCCCCCAGGAAGGCGTTGTCCCGCCGCCGGCCTTGCCCGGCCCCGAGGCGCCGTTTCTGGGGCCCCCCGAGGCGCTGCTGGCGCCCTGGGACGGTCCCTGTTGACCTGTGGTGGTCCATGTTGGCACACATTGACCCATGTTGGCCCACGTTGACCTGTGTTGACCCGTGCTGATCCACACTGACCCTCATTGACCTGTTCCAATCCATGCTGACCCCTGGTGACCCACACGGACCTGTATCAGTCCACGCTGCCCCATGTTGAATTGCATTGGTTCACATTGACCCACATTGACACATTTTGGCCCATGTTGAGCTGTAATGATCCATGTTTAGCGACGTTGACGCATTTTGGCCCGTGTTGACACATTTTGGCCCATGTTGACCCACATTGATCCATCTTGGTCCATGTTGAGCTGTATTGATCTGTGTTGACCCACATTGATCCATTTTGGCTCATGTTGACCTGTAATGATCCATGTTTAGCCACGTTGACACATTTTGGCCCGTGTTGACCCACGTTGATCCATTTTGGTCCATGTTGACCTGTATCAATCCATTTCGGCTCATGTTCACCTGTGTTGATCCATGTTGGCCTATGTTGACCCACATTGACCCACATTGATCCGTGTTGGCCCATGTTGACCCATATTAATCTGTTTTGGCCCATGTTGACCCAAATTGACCTGTTTTGGCCCATGTTGACCCACACTGATCTGTGTTGGCCCATGTTGACCCACATTGATCTGTGTTGACCCACACTGATCCGTTTTGGCCCATGTTGACCACATTGATCTGTGTTGGCCCGTGTTGACCCCTTTTGACCCACACTGACCCTCATCAACCCACACGGACCTGTACTGACGTATGCTGACTCCTATTGACCCATTTTCGCCCACATTGACTCATGTTGAGCTGTAGTGATCCATGTAAGCCCGTATTGATCCGTGTCGACCCACGTTGATCCATTTTGGCCCACGTTGACCCACGTTGATCCATTTTGGCCCATGTTCACCCACATTGATCTATTTTGGTTCATGTTGACCTGTGTTGATCTGTGTTGACCCATGTTGACCCACACTGATCCGTTTTGGCCCATGTTCACCCACATTGATCCGTGTTGAGCTGTACTGATCCATGTTTACCCACGTTGACCCATTTTGGCCCGTGACCCACATGATCCATTGACTCGTATCGCTCCACGTTGACCCGCGTTGACCCTGGCCAACTGATGTTGGTCCGTGTTGACCTGCAGTGATCCGTGGTAACCATGGCAACCATGGTGACCGTGGGTCAATCCATGGTGACTTGTATTGGTCGATCCATGTGGACGCACGTGGGTCCATGTTGATCTGTGTCAATCCACCTTGACCCATCCTGACTCGGTTGGCCCGCGTTGACTTGGGCTGGTCCTTGTTGACCCATGTTGACCTGTGCTGGCCCATATTGACCTCTATTGATCCACGTTGGCCAGTATTGATCCATATTGGCCAGTATTGATCCATGGTGACCCATCTAGATCAGTGTTAGACCGTATCGATCCCTGTTGACCTGTGGTGGTCCATGTTGGCACACATTGACCCATGTTGGCCTACATTGACCTGTGTTGACCCGTGTTGATCCACATTGACCCTCGTTGACCTGTTCCAATCCGATGTTCACCCACATTGATCTATTTTGGTTCATGTTGACCTGTGTTGATCTGTGTTGACCCATGTTGACCCACACTGATCCGTTTTGGCCCATGTTCACCCACATTGATCCGTGTTGAGCTGTACTGATCCATGTTTACCCACGTTGACCCATTTTGGCCCGTCCACGCTGCCCCATGTTGAATTGCATTGGTTCACACTGACCCACATTGACCCATTTTGGCCCATGTTGAGCTGTATTGATCTGTGTTGACCCACATTGATCCATTTTGGCTCATGTTGACCTGTAATGATCCATGTTTAGCCACGTTGACACATTTTGGCCCGTGTTGACCCACGTTGATCCATTTTGGTCCATGTTGACCCACATTGATCCATTTTGACCCATGTTCACCTGTATTGACCCACATTGATCCATATTGATCCATTTTGGCCCATGTTGACCTGTATTGATCTATGTTGACCGACGTTGACCCACATTGATCCATTTTGGCCCACATTGACCCACATTGATCTATGTTGACCCACGTTGACCCACATTGATCCGTTTTGGCCCACGTTGACCCACATTGATCCGTTTTGGCTCACGTTGACCCACATTGATCCGTTTTGGCTCACGTTGACCCACATTGATCCGTTTTGGCCCACGTTGACGCACATTGATCCGTTTTGGCCCACATTGACCCACATTGATCCATTTTGGCCCACGTTGACCCACATTGATCCATTTTGGCCCACGTTGACCCACATTGATCCGTTTTGGCCCACGTTGACCCACATTGATCCGTTTTGGCTCACGTTGACCCACATTGATCCGTTTTGGCCCACGTTGACGCACATTGATCCGTTTTGGCCCACATTGACCCACATTGATCCATTTTGGCCCACGTTGACCCACATTGATCCGTTTTGGCCCACGTTGACACACATTGATCCATTTTGGTCCGCGTTGGCCCCCATTGGTCCGTTCTGGCCCACGTTGACCCGCATTAATCCGTGTTTACCCACGTTGACCCGTATTGACCCCTTTTGACCCACGCTGACCCTCATCAATCCACACTGACCTGTATCGATGTGTGTTGACCCCTATTGACCCGTCTTGACCCGCATTGACTCACATTGATCCCTATTGACCGACATTGAGCCCCATGGACCTGGGTCAATCCACACTGATCAGTACTGGCCTGTACTGACCCCTGCTGACCTGTACTGACCTGTACTGACCTGATCCGTTTTGGCTCACGTTGACCCACATTGATCCGTTTTGGCCCACGTTGACCCACATTGATCCATTTTGGCCCACGTTGACCCACATTGATCCGTTTTGGCCCACGTTGACCCACATTGATCCATTTTGGCCCACATTGACCCACATTGATCCGTTTTGGCCCACGTTGACCCACATTGATCCGTTTTGGCCCACGTTGACCCACATTGATCCGTTTTGGCCCACGTTGACCCGCATTGATCCATTTTGGCCCACGTTGACCCACATTGATCCGTTTTGGCCCACGTTGACCCGCATTGATCCATTTTGGCCCACGTTGACCCACATTGATCCGTTTTGGCCCACGTTGACCCGCATTGATCCATTTTGGCCCACGTTGACCCACATTGATCCATTTTGGCCCATGTTCACCTGTATTGACCCACATTGACCCACATTGATCCATTTTGGCCCATGTTGACCTGTATTGATCTATGTTGACCCACATTGACCCACATTGATCCATTTTGGTCCGCGTTGGCCCCCATTGGTCCGTTCTGGCCCATGTTGACCCGCATTAATCCGTGTTTACCCACGTTGACCCGTATTGACCCCTTTTGACCCACGCTGACCCTCATCAATCCACACTGACCTGTATCGATGTGTGTTGACCCCTATTGACCCGTCTTGACCCGCATTGACTCACATTGATCCCTATTGACCGACATTGAGCCCCATGGACCTGGGTCAATCCACACTGATCAGTACTGGCCTGTACTGACCCCTGCTGACCTGTACTGACCTGTACTGACCCACACTGGCCAGTACTGACCCCTGCTGACGTGTAGTGACCCACACTGACCTGTACTGACCAGTACTGACCTGTGCTGACCAGTACTGACCCCTGCTGACCTGTACTGACCTGTACTGACCTGTACTGACCCGTGCTGACCAGTACTGACCCGTGCTGACCCGTACTGACCCGTGCTGACCAGTACTGACCCGTGCTGACCCGTACTGACCCACGCTGACCAGTACTGACCCCTGCTGACCCCTGCTGACCTGTGCTGACCCGTACTGACCTGTACTGACCTGTACTGACCCACACTGACCTGTACTGACCTGTACTGACCTGTACTGACCCACACTGACCCGTACTGACCTGTACTGACCTGTACTGACCCACGCTGACCAGTACTGACCCACACTGACCTGTACTGACCCGTACTGACCAGTACTGACCCCTGCTGACCCACACTGACCTGTACTGACCCACACTGACCTGTACTGGCCAGTACTGACCCACACTGACCAGTACTGACCCACACTGACCTGTACTGACCCCTGCTGACCTGTACTGACCTGTACTGACCCCTGCTGACCTGTGCTGACCCACACTGACCCGCGCTGACCCCTGCTGACCAGTACTGACCTCTGCTGACCAGTACTGACCTGCGCTGACCTGTACTGACCCACACTGACCTGTGCTGACCCCCACTGATCTGTACTGGCCAGTACTGACCCACACTGACCAGTACTGACCCCTGCTGACCCACGCTGACCTTTACTGGCCCGCACTGACCTGTACTGACCCACACTGACCTGTGCTGACCCACACTGACCTGTACTGACCAGTACTGACCCCTGCTGACCCACGCTGACCTTTACTGGCCCGCACTGACCTGTACTGACCCACACTGACCTGTACTGACCCCTGCTGATCCATCTTGACCCACACTGACTGGTATGAACCCACACTGACCCACACTGACCAGTACGAACCCATGCTGACCTGTACTAACCCACACTGCCCAGTACCAACCCACACGGACCAGTACCAACCCACGTTGACCCACACTGACCGGTACCAGCCCATGCTGAACCACACTGACCAATACCAACCCACACGGACCAGTACCAACCCATGTTGACCCACACTGCCCAGTACCAACCCACACTGACCCACCCTGACTCCAGTTGCCCCACGCTGGCCCACAGTGACCAGTACCAACCCACGCTGCCCCACACTGACCCGTACCAGTCCACACTGCCCCACCCTGACTCCAGTTGCCCCACACTGACCCACATTGCCCAGTACCAACCCATGCTGCCCCACCCTGACTCCAGTTGCCCCACACTGCCCCACCCTGACTCCAGTTGCCCCACGCTGCCCCACCCTGACTCCACTTGCCCCACACTGGCCCACGCTGACTCCAGCTGCCCCGTTTCCCTCTCCGCAGGCGAGAAGCCCCACCAGTGCTCCATCTGCTGGCGCTCCTTCTCCCTGCGGGACTACCTGCTCAAGCACATGGTGACCCACACGGGCGTGCGCGCCTTCCAGTGTGGCGTCTGCTGCAAGCGCTTCACCCAGAAGAGCTCCCTCAACGTGCACATGCGCACGCACCGCCCCGAGCGCTTCCAGTGCCGCCTCTGCACCAAGGGCTTCTCCCACCGCACCCTCCTGGAGCGCCACGCCGCCACCTCCCACCCCGTGCCACCGCCGGGGCCGCCACCAGGGCCACGGCCCGGGCTGCCACTGGGGCCAGCACCTGGGCTGCCACTGGGGCCACCACCGGGGCCAGCCCCGGGGCCGCCGCTGGGACCGGCACCGGGGCCACAGCCCGGGCTGCCACTGGGGCCAGCACTGGGACCATCACCTGGGCTGCCACTAGGGCCACCACCGGGGCCAGCACCGGGGCCACAGCCCGGGCTGCCACCGGGGTCACCGCTGGGACCACCACCGGGGCCAGCACCTGGGCTGCCACCTGGGCTGCCACTGGGGCCACTGCTGGGACCACCACAGGGGCCAGCACCTGGACTGCCACCAGGGCCACCGCCAGGGCCACCACCTGGGCTGCCACCAGGTCCACCACCAGGGCCACCGCCAGGGCCACCACCAGGGCCACCACCAGGTCCACTGCCAGGGCCACCACCAGGGCCAGCACCTGGGCTGCCACCTGGGCCACCGCCAGGGCCACCTCCCGGGCTGCCACCGGGGCCACCGCTGGGACCACCACAGGGGCCAGCACCTGGGCTGCCACCAGGGCCACCACCTGGGCTGCCACCTGGGCCACCACCGGGGCCGCCCCCGGAGCCTGGACTGGGCGCGTGGCCGGGGCCGGACGTGGCGGGCGCCGGCCCCGCTCACACGGCGTGAGGAGGGGTCCCTGCCCCTGGAGGGGCCTTGAGGGGGGCCCCGGGGGCTCCGCGGGTGCGGTGGAGCAGCCGGGGTGAAGCCCGGGGACAGGGCTGGGATGCCCTCCGTGGGGCTCGGGAGGCTGAGGCACATTCCCGGTGACGGCAGGAGGGCAGCGGGGTGTCCCAACGGGGACGTGGGGAGCGGCCGGGGCGCCGAGCGGGAGCACGGGGCAGATCCTGCCGGGAGCCGTGCTCAGGCAGCCCGAGGAGGCTGGTGACGGCCAGCGCGGCGCCGCCGGGGCAGACGGAGCCCGGGAACCCCGGCGGGCCTGCGGGAGCGGGTGAGGACGTCATTGTCCTGGTGGCACCCCCGGAACGTTCTGGAACTGAGCTGGGCACGGGGATTGGAGAGATGGACCATGAGGGTGATGACATCATTGACCTGATGGCACCCCCGGAACGTTCTGGAACTGAGCTGGACATGGGGATTGGAGAGATGGACCATGAGGGTGATGACGTCATTGACCTGATGGCAGCCCTGGAACATTCTGGAACTGAGCTGGACAGAGGGATTGGATGGATGGACCATGAGGGTGATGACGTCATTGTCCTGGTGGCACCCCCGGAACGTTCTGGAACTGAGCTGGGCACAGGAATTGGATGGATGGACCATGAGTGACCATGGAGGTGCTCGGAGGGCTGGACCGTGAGGGTGATGACCTGATGGGCCCCTGGAATGTTCTGGAACTGATCTGGACACGGAGTTTGGACAGATGGACCACACCATGAGTGGCCATGGAGGTGCTCAGAGACTGGACCATGAGGGTGATGACATCATTGACCTCATGGGACTCCTGGAACGTTCTGGAACTGAGCTGGACATGGGGATTGGAGAGATGGATCATGCCATGAGTTGCCATGGATGCTCAGTGGACCATGAGGGTGATGATATCATCGCCCTGATGGCACCCCTGGAACATTCTGGAACTGAGCTGGACATGGGGATTGGATGGATGGACCATGAGTGGCCATGGAGGTGCTCAGAGGGCTGGACCATGAGGGTGATGACCTGATGGGCCCCTGGAATGTTCTGGAACTGAGCTGGACACGGAGTTTGGACAGATGGACCACACCATGAGTGGCCATGGAGATGCTCGGAGGACCATGAGAGTGATGACGTCATTGACCTGATGGCACCTTTGGAATGTTCTGGAACTGAGCTGGGCATGGAGATCGGATGGATGGACCATGAGTGGCCATGGAGGTGCTCAGTGGACCATGAGGGTGATGATGTCATTGCCCTGGTGGCACCCCTGGAATGTTCTGGAACTGAGCTGGACAGAGGGATTGGATGGATGGACCATGAGGGTGATGATGTCATTGCCCTGGTGGCACCCCTGGAATGTTCTGGAACTGAGCTGGACAGAGGGATTGGATGGATGGACCATGAGGGTGATGACGTCATTGTCCTGGTGGCACCCCCGGAATGTTCTGGAACTGAGCTGGACAGAGGGATTGGATGGATGGACCATGAGTGGCCATGGAGGTGCTCAGAGACTGGACCATGAGGGTTATGACGTCATTGACCACATGGGCCTCCTGGAACGTTCTGGAACTGAGCTGGGCACGGGGATTGGAGAGATGGACCATGGGTGGCCATGGATGCTCAGTGACCATGAGGGTGATGACATCATCGCCCTGATGGCACCTCCAGAACGTTCTGGAACCGAGCTGGACACGGAGTTTGGACAGATGGACCATGGGTGGCCATGGAGGTGCTCGAGGGTGGACAGAGCTGAGGTGTCCCGCCCGGAGAGGGCCCCAGGGACCCCCGGGAGGTGCCCCGGGAGCTGGGGAGGGGCGTGGGACGGGAGCCCAGGACACGAGGAGCAGCCCCTGCTGGGAAGGGGACAGGGAGGTGGATTTTGGGGGGAAATCCCTGGATTTCGTCTCTGGGACACCTCAGGGACACCGCGGGGTCCCTCCTGTCCCCTCCCTGCCCGGGGCTCCTGTCCCCCCGGCGGTGACGATGAGCCCAGGGGGTTCAGGGACCTTTTTGGTCATTTTTAACATTTTTTACATTAAAACCGGTGTCACTTGAGGCGTGTCACCTGTGCAGTGTCCCCAGGGCCACCACGCCGCGGTGGCAGCAGCCCCAGGCCACCTCGTGTGTCCATCACAAACCCCCCGAGATCCACGGTGGGGACAGCCAGGGCCACCAGGACACAGCCAGGGGACAGGGGGACACCGGGGACATGGAGAGGGATGGGAGGAGACTGGGGGTGACCTCAGGGGACACTGGGGGACACTGGGGACACTGTCCCAGGGCCACCACCGTCAGCCGTTGGTCCCAGTGCTGCCCAGGGCCCTCCCAGTAACCCCCAGTGCTCCCAGTAACCCCCAGTAACCCCAGTAACTCCCAGTGCCCCAAGTAATCTCCAGTGCTCCCAGTGACCCCCAGTAATCCCAGTAATTCCCAGTGATCCCAGTGACCCCCAGGGCTCCCAGTAACCCCCTGTGCCTGCCCAGTGATCCCAGTAACTCCCAGTGATCCCAGTAACTCCCAGTAAATCCCAGTGATCCCATTAATCCCCAGTAATCCCAGTGATCTCCTTAATCCCCCATGCTCCCGTTAATGCCCAGTCACCCCAGTAACTCCCAGTATTCCCAGTAGCTCCCAGTAGCTCCCAGTAAACCCCAGTGATCCCATTAATCCCCAGTAATCCCCCATGCTCCCATTAATGCCCAGTGACCGCAGTAACTCCCAGTATTCCCAGTAGCTCCCAGTAGCTCCCAGTAAACCCCAGTGATCCCATTAATCCCCAGTAATCCCCCATGCTCCCATTAATGCCCAGTGACCGCAGTAACTCCCAGTATTCCCAGTAATTCCCAGTTATCCCCCATGCTCCCGTTGATCCCCAGTGACTCCAGTAACTCCCAGTGCTCCCAGTAACTCCCAGTGCTCCCAGTCCCGCCCCGGCTCTGCTTCCCATTGGTTTGCCCAGCTGTCAATCACAGCCTCAGCCCCGCCTCCCCGCTGAACGCCCATATCGATTGGTCGGTCGGTCCAAGAAGTCCCCGCCTTCCCCCGGGGCTCTTCGGCCGCTGATTGGTTCAGCTCCGGCCGCTCTGCGCTCTGATTGGCCCATTCGCGTTCACATGCCGGAGGCGTCTTCCCGCCCTTTCTTTCCCGCCTGCTCCTCTTCTATTGCTCCCTCTCGCTGTCAATCTCCGCCAACCCCCGCCCTCCTTCCCTCCCATTGGCTCCCCGCGCTGTCAATCTGTCCCCGCGGGCGGTGATTGGCCGCGGGGCGGGGCGGGGGCGGGAGCAGGAGGCCGCGCTGGGTGTGAGGGGACGCCGCCGCCATGTCGGAGCCGCAGCTGGCGGCGCCGGGCAGCGGCCCCGGGGCCAAGGGCGCGGAGCCG